AAAAAAAAAAAGACATTTGAAAATGTCTTAAGATTTTTTAGGACAATAAAAGATATGTTCTACTTTGGTTTAATATTAACTAAAATGTGTATATGGTATTTTATTAGAGTAATTTAACAACCTAATGACATTGAATAGACTTGTGGTAGTATTTTTATTGTTCTTATTTTACAAATGAGAAGACTGAACTAAAGAAAGATTAAGTAAATAGTGGAGCCATGGCTTAATCTAGTCCTCTAACTCTGAAGAATATTATTCTTCCTGTCTATCACACATGTTTCCAGAGTGGAGAATATGAGTACAGCATAGATGCTTTCATACATTTTTGGAAGAAAATAATTGATATCCTTTAATGTGACATTAAATATTTCCTTTCTTACACCACTTTATTTTGTTACTTCAGAACAAACACATTGTTGGAAAAGGTTGCCGCTGCGGTAGACCAGTCAGCGTTCTACAGTGCTCTTTGGGGTAGCCTTCTCACCAGTCCTGCTGTTCGTTTACCTGGAATTACCTATGTGCTCGCCCATTTGAACAGGAAGCTTTCTATGGAAGATCAACTTTATATAATTGGTAGCGATATTGAGCTAATGGTAGGTCTAATATTGTGGTTGCTCATTTCACAACTTATTTATTTATTTATTTATTTTTTGAGCCAGGCACTATTCAACATGGATGTTGAGGATTATTCAATGAATAAAATTTCTATTTTTCACAGAGCTTACATTTTTTTTTACCAAAAAACCCTAAAGATCAAAATTATCAGTAATTATTGATCTTAAGAAGCTTAATATTTTCATGAATAAGAATTGTTATTTATGTCTGTTTCTCTATTATCTGTTATTCAGCAAATTAATGGGTACTATTATTACTATCTTACTAACTGATCCAACTACTGTTAACATAGTTACATTTATTATATTCCAAGGTGAACCTTTTCTTCAATCTTTATAAGAAAACATGAATTTTATATAAAGTAACAGACAGATTCTGCATGGGATTTGTGTGACAGATGTAGTACTAAAGCAGACATTGTAAGATAGTAGAAAAGAATCACATTGATTGTTTATTTATACTTTTTAATTTCAAGATTAAAGTGTGATTTACGTTCACTGAAGTTAATCCTTCTGTATGAACAGTTGTATGAATTTTGACAAACACATAAAATAATGTAACTTCTACTACAATCAAGATACAGAATACTACGTCATCCCCAAAAGTTCTATGCCCTTTTTAGTTGGTCCCCTTCTTCTACACCAGGCCCTTGCAAACACTGTTCTGTTTTCTGTTTCTATAGTTTTGCTTTTTCCAGAGTGCTATATAAATGAAATCATGCTATGTTTAGCCTTCAAGTATTGTTTTCCACTTTTCTTAACATTTGAGTTCGTCCATGCTTTTGTATGTATCACTGATTTGCTACATATTCTTCCATTGTAAGATGGTACCACAATTTGATTAATGGACATTTAACTTGGAGCCCATTTGGGGCAAATATTAATAAAGCTACAATAAACATTTGCATACAGATATTTGTATAGACATATGTTAGGGATTGCTTGGTGAAGTTACTAGAAAACCCCACAGGTTATATAATACTAATACTGTAAACATTTGTTTGTAACCTCTTTGATCTTCAGAAGCATACTTTTATGTATTAGAGAAAATGAAGAATTGTTACATTTTTTATGGCAAATTTCCCAGCATAACAGACAAAAGGTGATAAAGATTCTTTTATTTCAGGTAGAAGCAGTAAGTACTTCAGTGCAGGACTCAAGTGTACTTGTACAGAGAAGCACACTGGACCTCATACTCTTCTGTTTTCCATTCCACATGAGTCAGGTAAAACATTGCTACTATCAATAAAAGGCATTCATAGAAAATCAGATCCATGATGAATGGTTATTTTTTAAAGGTATTATGGTAGAGTGTTTTGTTTTATAAATCAGCATGTGCATAAAAAAATAGGTTCCTTTATTTATTTATTTACTTATTCATTCATACATATGTACATCTGTACCAGGGGTTAAACCCAGGGGTGCTTAACCACTGAGCCACATTCCCAACCTGTTTTTTTGTTTTTTGTTTGTGTGTGTGTGTGTGTGTGTGTGTGTGTGTTTTAATTTTGAGACAGGATTTCGCTAAGCTGCTTAGAGTCTCTGTAAGTTGCTGAGACTGGCTTTGAATCTGGATCCTCCTGTCTCAGCATCCTAAGGCGCTAGGATAATAGGCACATGCCACCGCCCTTGCTACAAGTCCATTTTTAGGAGTGAAAATTTGTGCAAATTCTGAAGAAAAATAGATTTTCTGATTTGATAGAATATGGTAATTGAATTCGAATACTTCAAAGTTCTATAAAAAGCAAGAGGGTAGAGAGAGATGATGCAGGGGAGGGGAGGGGAGGGGGGATAGGAAGGGGATAGGAAAGGCAGCCGAATACAACAGACACTAGTATGGCAGTATGTATAAACGTGGCTGTATAACCAATGTGATCCTGCAATCTGTACATGTGGTAAAAATAAGAATTTATACCCCATTTGAATCAAATGTATGATATATGATATGTCAAGATCATTGTAATGTTTTGAGCAACTAATAAAAAAAAAAAAAAGCAAGAGGGGCTCATTGTTAATTCAAAGCCAATACTCTGACCCAGGCTTTTATCTAGCCAATATCAATCTGTCATGTTGCCTTATCTTGCTCTGGTGATTTGGGGATTCATACCAGAACCATAGAAGAGTTGGGTATAATTTGAGAGACAAGTATTTAGTCACTGTGATATCTGCTAATAATTTTATTTCAAATCAGAGTAACTGACTTGCCAAATCATAACAAAGTGTTTCCATTACTGGAGCTTAATTTAATCTGTCTTTATTTTCAAAGAAATGATCTAAATATTTTTTTTTTAATTTTTAACTTTGATGAGTGATTTAGAGCACCAGAATGTAAGCATTCAGAGTAGAGGAAATATATACTTAAACGAAGCAATAAGATACAGATAATTTCTACCTTGAAAAAGTAAGCTTATTTCTAAAAAGGAATTAGCAGAAAAGACTATTGTGATTTTCATAATGACCATTGGCTAATTTTTCTGTGTTATTTTATTCAATTTTTTCTTTATCGTTCTACTTGTTTTTGTTAGTTTATTATTATTTATTCAAATTAAGTAATAATTGAAGACTTACACTTCATTGTCTATGTTGTCACTAATTGGGAAATAAACCACCTCTAGCTTCTGTTTTGAAACTCACCCCTTAACCAGGAGCCTTTATTCTGTCCTTGAGCTTTTCACAGAAACCCTTACTAGAAAATCTCAGTATACTCTAAACCTGCCCATGCTCTAGTATAGGTGTGGACAAATAGTCCACTAGGTAAGAGTGAATTTTTAATTTTTTTAAAAGCTTTTAAATAAAGAGGGAGGTGATTTTTTTTTTTAAGGAGGAGGAGGAGGAGGAGGAGGAGGAGAAGAAGGAGGAGGAGGAGGAGAGGTCAGGAGAGTAGATAAAGGAGAATGAAGGAAGGACAGCGGGATGGGATAGGGAAAGACAATGGAATGCATCTAACCTAACTATGCTGTGTGCATATATGAATATACCACAGTGAACATCAACAGTATATATACATCCACAAGACATTAACAAAAAAATTAAGTAAATAGCAGAAATATCAGTAGAGGGAAAGAAAATAGGTGGTAGGGGGGAAGGGAAAGGGGAAATATTGGGGAATTGAATTAGAACAAATCATATTCCATGCTTTTATGATTATGTCAGAATAAATCCTATTGTTATGTGTAACTAAAAATAACCAATCAAAATTGAAATTGAAAAAATATCTTGTAAAAGAAAACAAAGAATACCCCCAAAATATATGTGGTCCAAAAACATAAAACATAACTTACTATCTGGCTCTTTATCAAAAAAAATTTGTTGACCTGTGCTCTTGAATTTTCTTCCCTTCTAAATGGTCAATATTAATAATCCCTCAGTTGATAGGTTCCTCAACAGGATCTGAGGAATTAAGTCTTGGTAGACTTAAATTAGTAAGAACTTAAGTTATAACCTCACTATATCAGTGATTCTAAACCTTTTCAGCTTGTACTTCCTTTACTACTTTATTATTTTACCATCTTTGTGCTCCTACTAGCCAAGATTTTCTCAAACATTACCTTCTACATTTTTTTACATAAAAAACGTAGTTATGTTGAATATGATTTTTTTAAAGTACACACCTAGTTCTAATATTCTTTTCCCCATTACTGGACCCAATTCTGATACTCTTACCCCTGTTGCTATACCAAATATTAGTCTACCTGAGTCATCTTGTTTTCCTACTTTACCTGTTTTCATATCTTGCATATAATAGACTTTTACCAAGTATTAATTGTTATTGTATCTTAATAGAGCCTGTATTTCTTTATCCCAAAAGTATGATAGATATTATATTACAACTAGACTATTAGATTTGAGCTTGTTTCATGAAATGCTGACTTGACTCTCTAGTGTATACACCTTTGAAATTATAATAGTTTTTTATATATATAGTACAAGTGTGTGGTAATGTCAGTAGTAATCAGAAATTACTTCTTGGCTGGGTGTGTAGCTCAGTGGTAGATGTACAGGACCCTGGGTTCAATCTCAAGAACCCCCCCCCCCCACAAATAAAGGACTTCTTATACCTTATGTATTTGTTGACAACATTATATATATATATTATGTATAACATTTCAAAATATATATACATTATAGTGCCACAGTCTGGCTGGGCACAAATGCCGCAGTCTGGCTGGGCACACAATCAAGAGCCACCACACAGCTTGTAGAT